GCGCTTCATGGCCCAGCCATTGGGGCCGTACCAGAAGAGAGCGACGTCGCCCGACTTGATACTAGTGTCGAAGTTGGCGGCTGGGATAGGCGTTCCACTGCCGTCGAAATGGTCGGCGTCGAAAATAGTACCTTCGTAGGGAGTCTTGTTAGCGACGTCGATATTACCGCGGTAGACCGAATAGGTGCCATTGGCGTTTTGAGTAATGGTGTCGATGGTGACACCCTCGAGGTAATCGGCATCGATGAGGTCAGTGTAGCCATCACCGTTGGTATCCCAGAAGCGCACCTCGAGACCTGCAACAATGTTTGTGACGAGGGAAAGCGCGGCGGCGTCATAGCTATCAGCCTCGGTCTCAGCCTCATAACCACCCCACCAGCTCGCGGTCGTGGTGTTGTAATACAACCAGGGCACTTGATTAATCAGGTAGCCGTCGCTTACGCACTGGCTGGTGTTCTGAAAGCTGGCTTCAGTGCCAGGGATGGCCCACAGGTTGACATAAAACTGACCACCGGCGATAAGAGCCTTGACACCCTCGAGAGCGCTCCCTTGCTCAAAGTACTGGTCGTACTGAGTAGCAGTGACGTTGGCGGCGTCGGTGCCCAAATCAAGCACGATAGCACGGAGTAGCGTACCATCGACCTGACTGTCAGAGTAAGCAGTACCGCAGGCTGCCAAGCCCGTGGAGGGCAGCATGGCAAGAGCTGTGACGTCGGCGATCTTCATGTTTGCAATGACTTCGAGGAAGCGTAAGAGAGGTGCAATGGAAAAGAACGTTGATCAAGATGGGAACGAGTGTCAATTCGTCGTTGTTATCTGGCTATCCTCTTCACATGGTCGATATTTATCATCTTTCGAATCCAAAACGGGTACCTAATTTCCATATCCCTATCATGCACATCTAGCTCGGTGCCGGAAAAAGCGTCGGCACTCAATCCTGTGCGCTCAGATATGTGGAGACGGCTTGGGCCCCATCCCCACCGGATTTTCGACAATTTGAGAATTAGTACACAATTATATCTAGGTATATTACTCCCCTGAGTTTTCTCCTGCCTAAAGGAATACATAAAACCGTGGGTTCTCAATTTTTGTGGCTAACTTTCTGCGGCTAACATTCAAAGATCCACGGTGTTACACTCATTAGTCAGAAGGAGGGAGGCGGGGATGGTAGTATATGAGAATTATTAGATACCCCACAAGAACGCGTGAAATGGAGGCTCTCGGTCCCGAGATTGAAAGACGATAAGGTGTAGAGAGTCCATCGCGGACTACCGCTCACGATATATACGACTCAAACCCTCGCTTATTGACCGGATCAACAAACCTTTCTTCCAGGCCCCTAGTCTTTAGAACTCAACATCTTCAAAGTACTTAGAAGGGCCTAGTTAGAAAGTACCTGCCAACGCAATGCACACCGAGCGTATCGGCCCACAGGACGGCTAAACTTATTTTGAGTAGCATTTTGGCAGAGTTTTTCTCTTTCGTAGGACTTTGAACTCAATAAATTTCGTCAAAACAGATCATCAATATCGATGAATCGTTCCGTTAGCAGGTGGGCCCTTCTAGTCTTCCTGAGCCACTGCTCCGATGCGGTTTCCCCTAGTGTTTCCGATACAAACCATAATTAATTGAAGTCAAAGTTGTATCCAATGAACCCCCTCAGATTCTATATTTCAAAGGATTTTATGGGCGTTTTTACAATATTTTTCTACTCCGTATAGGTAAGATTGATTGTTCAGCTTAGAGAAGAGGAACTCTAAAACCCAGTCCAACTCCCTCAATTACTGGGCATCGCTTCATCATACACATAATTGTAGATCGTAATTAACTGCCCCAAGCTCGTCACTCACCAGAAGAATGGCTGTTCTTCAAAGGAGCCTATTGCCTGCTTGGCCGTGCTCTGAATTCCTTTAATCTCGTAGGGGTTGAGTGCGTCACTGAGGCCCTTTTTTGTGTAGAAAAGTGGGTGTTTTGGAGAAGTAATCCTATCTCAAGTACATCCCTCGGTGTATGTGCGTGTTCCAGAGTCTGGACGGCGGTGATGTTCTAGAAATTCCCATGTCTTGATCTGGCTGCGTGCGTAGCCTCTCAAGGGTCTTCCGGTTCAGCGTTAGCTTCATGTTTCTTTTCTTCAGCAAGATATACATCCCCACCGAAAATGAGGGTGTACTGTTGGCGCCAATTGGCACTTTTCTTATTGGACGTCAAAAAGCTGTTACAGAATCACTAATAGAAATTACAGAATATCAGATCACCGAATAAGCATTGACCCCGGGAAGGCTTCGATCAATCGAATTTTCATCATGTGATTATCAGATTCAGATTCAGATTCTCGATAGCCTATCATTCTGTCAATCTTGATATCATGATTGATCTGATATCAGATTTGATCGATTCGGGTAAGTTTGGCTTGATCACTAGTGTGGGGATTCCTAGCCGGTGCAGTGGGCGTCGATGATATAGGTGGCGTTCGAAATGGACAATTCGATTGAAGTTGAATTGATTTATAATCAAACGCAATATCAACGGTCTCCTGCCACTATCGCCTATAGCACCTTCTTTATTTGCTCAATATCGAAAAAAGAGACGCAACATCCCTTTTATGGGGACGGCCCCGGTGACATCCCATGTCGCTAAATTCATGATTTCGGCACCGAAATCAAATATATGCCTTTTGCAGATGTTCCTGCGAACGTGCTCGCGTATATCGACATATCTACAGTGCCCTCATATTTGCAAGCGATGGTGCCGTCTTTATACCGGGGTTGTGGCTGTCTCATTTCTCACCTGGGTAGCTAATGCATCTGGACCTCTCGTTTCCGACAATACGTGCGTGTCCTGGGCCCTGTCACTTCTATCGTGCGTGAGACTCTCATTCATAACGTTCGTTCTGTGTTTTTCCGATCTGCCACATACTTGTAGCAGGCGTTGAAAGCCTTCAGGTTGGATCACGTTGGGAAGTAGTAGTCGGTATGCTATAGACTTGTTGTCAACATGTTGTCAAGACAGTTGGTAATTTGCGTGGCGTATGCTGTAGACTGGTATTGGAGCGGAGTGAACGTATGTATAGTATTACCATTGGAATCTTCTTTTTCGTCATTTGTATCTATATGCTGTCCGTCAATCCGGTTATTGATCTGCTTGAACTGAAGCAGATACTGACTAACATACACAGCTGAATGCACACACTTTACAATAGTCATGGATTATCAAAGAAGCATCATAATATTGATATCTCAATCGTATTCTCGAATAGCTATCCGCCAGTATCGTTCTCTTCAATTTGACAGGACGTACTGTATGTTGACTTCGTAAAGTGAAACTCGAGATACAGGATTGCTTTCCCTAATTTTTTACATTTGTGATGTGTATGATCAGTTGAGCGCATCAAATTAGAGTATGTTCGAATATGTTTTAATTCTATTCCATAAATTGTTTCTCTGTTCTATGTGTACTTGTTTTTCAATATTAATCAATCGATTTCATATCCCATACACAGACACGCCATACTTTTGCCTCAGCCAATGAGAATCGCGATATTCTCTTTCCCATAGACAGTAGTAGCTCAGACAGATTACAATTCATTATATAAAGATATAAGCAGCGACCATCAACAATAATGGCGTCGTGACGGAGTGGTTAACGTGATTGACTAGAAATCAATTCCTTTCGGGGGCGCATGTTCGAATCATGCCGACGTCGAAATCTTTTGACTTTTTGGAGGCTGGTGCTTTATTCCTTTTCTATCTTTTCTATCTCTTTTAAGATTTTTTGCATTCTCTATTCAAAGAACTTCTGTTGTATTCTTAATTTGGGGGAAATTGTGGGGCTGGGAATTGTTTTCATGTGGAGTCGTTCACTGGAATGGCTGGGGATTGGCTGAGGAAGTATAATATTTGTGGATATATGGAAATGGGTTTGAAGTTTGAGTTATGGAATCATAACTCTTCACTTGTGTATTTTAGTACAATGTAGAATAAAGGTGTGATGGTAGTTCATGTGGATGATGAGCTGCGTGGTATGTATTCAGCAAATTTACCGCTATGAGCTACTTCGTGAACACTGTCTAAAATAAATGATGGACTTGCCTGGGGAGAGTTCTCAAGTGTTTATGTATTCAAAGCACCGGGCCTCATTTCATGTCAAGATGATATGCAAGGGTTGACATTCAATCATCTCGGTAGTCGTCTAGAATTCAAAAAGAGAGTCGTTGAATCGCTTTCGAATACTGTGGCTCAAGAAACACTGGGTATTGGGAAGGATGAAAAGGAGAGGAGTCACTTCTGATTTGGAATGAATATATCTCCTACAAGCAAAGCATTCATTTAGAAAAAGCTTCCTCCAAGTCGGAGTTTGTATGAACCATCAATATAAGATGGATTAGAGTCGATTTTACGCTACATCTGTTTTGCTTTGAGGACTATGACATAGATTTAGGTGTTTAACTATATCAACGACAGATGAACATATTTGTTTTCTATTGTATCGAAGATGACTCTAAATGTCGAGATTCTCAAGCTTCTAAGTGTCAAATATCATTTTTGCTCATGAGCGTCAGAGTTATACACTCAATAAGTGATGTCGGCAAATCACGAATACCCCTTTTCGGATCTAGGATGAAAATCAGCATCGCAATTTGATATCTTCCAGCATTTTCAATACTTCAATCCTCAGGAAAGCTTTTCCAACCAGTTCACTATACAAAGGCCCTATAACAAGAGGATATTATTTCTTTGTGCCCTCACCTTATTCCGGTAAGGATGCCTTTATCTCTCCTGGATTGCCTTTCATTCAGCGTCCCAAAACGTCAAATGGATTTTGGGCAAGGAAAGAACAGTTCTTTATCACACCTTAGGAGAACCTAGTATAATATTTAATATACACGGCCACCAAAACATTGATGGCGGATTCGAAAAATTCCAACGCATCTAAAAAGAAGTGGTAATCTTTTCGGAATACAGAAGTTTGGTCTCGTATATACACCTCTCAATTGCAACAAGATGAACGAAGAAGAACTCGCGCGCGTCCTTAGACGTGATCCCAACATTAACGTCGCCAGGCCCCTATACCAAAGACCCGAGCGGACCGAACCTCTCAAATGGGCTCCATATACTCCCCACACCATGAAGCAAAGTAATTTACCACGTTACATAACGATTCGTACAACCGAGCCCCTACAATGGATCCCGCGAGAACATATAAAGAGCGCATGGCCACTCCTTCCTCAGCGACCCCCTGTATTTCCCGAGCTTCCTGTGAAGAAACACGGTCTTGAACAGTTTGAGGTTGAAGAAGCAAGGAAGAGGCAAAGGAAGGAGACACGCAGAGCCCAAAAAGAGGCAGAAATGGCAAAATTAGTTCCTCCTCCAGCACCTAGACCGGAAATCATGCCTCTATCTCCGCAAGCTGTTCGCACGCCCAGGCCAATAGATCCAAGTACTGAAGCAAGACGCAAAAAATGGTCGGGCCCTGGAGACTGGGAGTTTAAATGGAAACATAATCCACGCCAGGATGCAAATATGGCAGTGAGAGACAGTATTCCGGATGACATGTACGAGCCCCCAATCGTCAGATCAATGCCCGATCGAATTCCTATAAACAAGAATTTGCAAATCGAAATATCATTTATGGAAGGTGTCATCTTTTATCCGAGTAGAATACCCGCCAGTGGAGATTGTTTTTTCGGTTCAGGTGAGTTTATGATATAATCTTGTTATCGAGTGTCGATAGAATCTCATGCTAACAATTTCAGTCTCAATGGCTTTGTATGGAACAACTCTATATTGGCACTATACAAAGTACTGTCACTTGTGGTTTTTTCGTTACGTGCTCACGCATCCTGCACATCCGCGATATGACTTTTACTGGCATTTAAATTCTATTGGAAACGCTGATGACGAAATGAATATGTGGGAGCGATTGAACACTCCACATGTAAGTTAATGCTCGTCCATACTGACCAATATGATAATGAAGTTACTAACCATAATTCCACCAGGCCTGGCAATCAAGCGAGCTCTTCAATGTCACAGCCGATATCTACAACCTCTTTGTAGTACTATACGAGGCACCCGCTACGATCGATCTCTTTGGCCAATACAACGCGACGCACACGTTTTTCCACCTCATCAATCGGAATCATTATGAAAGTTTGATTCCCAAGGACAAGGAGATTCAGTTTCCTTTTCCCGATGGCGTGATGGTTAGCCCCAGGCCTGGAAGAGCGAAGTTACGACTTATCGGTGGAGGCAGAAATATTGTGCCTCCACCCATTGCGCTGCCAGTCATTCCACTTCCGTCATTGATGGATATGACTCGAGTTCTTGGAATCAATACCGCAGAAGGAGCTCTAGATATTGAGTTGGTCAAAACCGGACTCAGAAGAGAAAGAAGGCTGGCAAAGGAGCTAAATGATCCTGCAGAGATCAAGTGGTGGGTGGAAGCAGAAGCTAAGGAAAAGGAAGATGAAAGGAAAGCAGAAGAAAAAAGGATCGCCGACGCAGCAAAAACAAAAACTCCAAAGAAGGTCAAATTACCTACAAACGAACAATTAGCAGCAGATCTCGCGAGAGTGTTGGCAAAGGGGAAGAAGCCCGAGCCCGGAAAGGTCACAAAGGAAGACCCAAACAATCTCAAAAGCAAGAAGATTCCAAAAAGGATAGTCCACGATCTTAATAGCGACGATGAAGACAATTATCTTGACGAAGCCGAGAACTTGATTCCGGAAAATCAACACACACCGGGAGGAACGAAAAAGAAAAGAAAATTCACCGGTTTCGGTCTTGATTACGATGATGATGACAGTGATGATGACGATGAAAGTGATCTTTACGAAGCAGCAAAACAGACACCCAAAAAGTCGCCGACAGTGAAGCCGCCAAAGACTCCTGGAAATCCTGATAAGAAGTCTTCTTCCAAGACGGTAAAAGCAAAAAAAAGACCGCCTAGGTGGTAAGGAGAAATATCTTGGATGTTAGGAATACGGAGTATATGGAGAAATTTCTATTGAAACAGTGTTGATTGATGGATATGCTTTGGCAAAGAGATGCTGGAGTTAGTATATGTGGGTTTTATGGAGTATAATTGGGGTTTTCGAGTAGAAAATTTGTTTTGTATAGTATTCAATATTGTATTTATTTACGTTTGTCTTGAGTCACTAGATGAAGGGGTATAGTAATCCGGTTATCTGACACGTGAAATTTGGAAGCTGTCCACAAGTGATAAATCCGACGAAGTATCAAAACCTATGAACCCTTTCACTACTACTTACAGTACTTCGTACTGACATGGTAGTTTCAGGCATATTATGATTCTACACATTCTCTGTGTCTGATCTTTCCTATACACTTGTCAGGTTGCGGGGATGAAGTATCGATCTCATCATTAAGTTTAGTCTACTTGATTTCGAACAACTGATATTTATTGAGATTCAAAAATGAACCGAATCACGATCCTGGAAATCCTTTTTAAATCCGCCTTTGCCACAATATTTCACAGCATCAGTTCTCTACGATCCCGTATACTAAGCTAGTCACATACAAGCCGCTCCCCCTCTACCTTTTCGACAAATAACATAAACCCGAAACAACATCACCCCAGCAGCTCTCACTGTCCGTATTCTTTGTCCCAAAGTCATCAACTCCGGACTTGGACTCCTCTTTATTCAAGACGCAATGCTCGAGCAACATCACCCAAGCAACAAAGACCGCTTTATCCCAAGAAACCAACCATACTTCAAGGATTCAATGACAAGCAATCAAAATGATTAATCCCCATCCAAACCTCGCCTTTCCCCATCCATCCGCAAACCCTTCCAAAATGTCCAAAAAATACGACGTGCACCACACATTCGACAGCCGAGGAGACCACCAGCGCCCCATCACCAGCGCCGACATAAGCGACTACATCCCCCTGCAAGCCGGCCGCGAAAATGAAAGCGCACCCACCCCCTTCGACGTACTCGAATGGCTCTCCGTCTTCTACGGACAGAAAGTTCCTCCGCTGCCCGTGATTCGCATGCGGGATCTCGAAGAAGTTCCCGATCAGCGACTCCAGGAAACCATAGAAGATTATCAACTCTTTACCCCGACGGTGAGGGGCGTAAGATTAAACCCCTTTACTGAGATTGGGATTGAGGGGTTTCCACTGATCGAAGATACGATTTTCAATATCGTGCGAAGCTATCCGGCCGATGAACAGTATCAGGGTCCGCATAATTTGATTTGGCTGGTGTCGAATTCATATTGGAGAGCGGGTAATTATACAGTTTACTTGACTTTTCTCTCTCTCACTCTCTCTTAAAAAATAGAGGAAAATAAGCGAAAATGCTAACACAACTCTAGTGGCCTGGGCCATGTACGGTAACTGGGAACTCTGGCCACAAGTAAAAGCCCAACACCGCATGATGTTTGACCAAGTACTCGCCACCCCCAAGCATCCCCGACACACTCTCTACCGGAACCTAAACGACAAGCGCAAAGGCCACAACAACCTCAACATCAAAGAGCGTCTCGGGATTCCCTACTGCGCCATCCGGCACGACGACATCCAGCAGGTCACCGCCGACATGTACGGCATCTTCCTCGTCATATTCACCTGTCGCCCGGCAGGGCAAGCCGTGAACATCCCCGGCTTCGGCACCGACCAATCCCCACGGCACTTTGCGCCGACCATTCGCGGCGAGTTCGGCCGTCCGCACAAATTCATCCGGCTCTCCATCGGCACCGTGCCCGAAAAATACAGACAATATCCCGACGCGAGTCTGCTGCCACTGTGGCAGATGTACGAGCCAATGATGCTCAACATGCCGAATTTTCGACACTCGGATTTCAAATACATACGTCCGACGTTTGAAAATACACGAGAATCATTACCCATGGCTGCGTCCATACGGCCGACGGATTTCAACGGGGTAAATCATCCGTGGAGGGCAGTGAATGTTCCCTGGGGCCAATGGTTTGGTGTTCAACAGAAGGGACTTCCAGATGCGCTTACACAGCCTGCGAATTGGCCCGCGGCCTTTCCGCATAAAGCAATGTCCCTGACGATTGCGATGGGATGTATACTTTTGGGAAAGGGAGATCCGAAGGATCCAAGGTCTTGGGCTCATGATTCACGTAAGATCATATGGATAAGACCGGACAAGACAAAGAGAGCGCAAGAGGCAGTGGAAGAAAGTCCAGTATTGTAATCGTTTGCAGAAGGGGGATATGATCTTCGCAATTCCCTGTAATCAGCAAGGAGATCTTTGTGATATAAATATCAGCTCTACATTTTTAGCAGACTGAAAAAAAACACCTTTACTAGGATTGTGACTTTGAGTTGACAATCGTATTATAATCAATCGAATAGTACCATTTAATCTAGTAAAACTGACCCTTTAACAAAGAAAGAAAAAATGAGAAATCTTCACTCTTCTTCTGAGATCATATAGTAGCAATACACCTCTGGTCAAGAGACCCAGAGATCCACTTGGTGTACATACACGGTTACAACCAAACAATTCATGAGGTACAGTTACGAAATATAATACACGGATCAAATAATGAGACTGTTAAAAACCAAACCACAATAAATCCAGACTTCAAATGATATATATTCCGTTCCGCATCATTCACACACCCCTCACTCTTGTCACTTACTCACATCATCCCATTCCTCAAGTTCTCTAAGCCATTTGCTCCCAACACCTCAGTAGTACCTACATACAATAGCACTTACGTACATATCTACTGTTAGGTGCAGCCAAAATACAAGATGGGGAACCGGGCCTATTGCTATTTTGATGTGAGACCTATCTATCGAATGTTATGTCTTTTTAATCAATGAGAAATCCTCAATGTCGATTCATGGTAACCGCTATTCCTAACCATCGAACCAAAAGGGAAGCTAAGCTCGACATGTTCTTCCAATCCACGGTGCACAAATTTACATGAGAGCTGCGCGTTGCCGTACATACGACTGGCTACAGCCGCATCGGATTTGGCTGCAAGTATCAAGTGTGTTGCATCGTACAGCAGTCTTAACATAATGGAATAGACGAGATTTATGAGAAGATGAAGCGAGTCAGGGGGGAGCTGGGAAAATGACAAGGAAAACTTAGGTACGAAGTAGAGAGTACTTGAAATTTATACTCGATTTTATATCATCAAAGTTCACTTGAACATTGAATAGCAGCACTTGAGAAATAAAAGGGGAAATATTAAAAAGAAAAACAAATTGATTGTTGGGGAGTTTCCCTTTTTTAGGAGAGTTGTTTTGTTTTGTGTTGTTTTTGGAGTTTCTGGAATGGATAGAAATGAAAAATCCCAGGACATCCCACAACAAATGAAAAATGGAAGATGTTACCATTGTGTTTTTACCGAAATTGCGAGCGGGATTGTCAACGTCTTGTATGAGTTTGGGCGGCGCCTTTTATGGTAAGTTTCATGGGGGCAAGTTGACTTTCAGGGGCATCTTCATCTTCTCCATCTTTCTGTGGCTTTCCATACTTTTCTTTGAATGAATCTATCCAGTGAACCGTTTCCATGTGTGTCTTTAGACGCCACTTATAGCCTTTGAAGTCACGCCCACATACCTTGCAAACAGTCTCTGGATGAGATTTGGTCTCATGGACGCGTACACTATGAGCTCTCAAATAATTGGGATGGGCGTATTTGGCATCACAGCCTTCAACAGGGCAAACACAGCTGTAATCTGCGTGAACGGTATCCATGTGCACAACAAGAGTAGCATTTGTCACGAAAGATTTTTCGCAAATTTTACATGGGAAGTTGCGAACGTGTAATCGATCAAGGTGGATGTTCAGGCTTTTCAGAGTACCTAGCTTTTGTTTACAACCAGGATAAGAACATGGAAAGTTTCCATGGAAATTCCTGACATGGCACTTGTAACTCTGCACACTGGCGTATGTGCGATCACACTCTTCACACTTGTTTTCGATCTCTCCATGCATCTGCTCGTTGTGTTTGTTGAGATCAGTTCTCACAGAGAATTTCTCATCACACTTTGGACATGAATAGAATTGGCTTGAATGTTTAGCCCTTCTATGAAGATTCAGAGAGTGCTGGTCTCGTAGATGCTTTCCGCATGAAGCGCAAATACAAGTCAAGCCGCTGGCTTTTTGACTGGATTTCTGAATTCTGTTACTCATCTTGACAAGTTGTAGGTTTGCTATGTAAGTTTTGATAACCGAATAAGTTTAATACTACCGTTGTTTGAATGAGTGGATGCTGTTGTTGTTGTTGTGTGAATTGAAACCGAATTAATGGAACTCCCTTGGAGGTACTCTGCAGTTTTTATGCAAACAAAAATATCCTGTTCAGATGTGAAATTGTTGTACTCTCGGTGAACAGTCGCAAGTACAAGCGCAGTACAATGCCATTGTATTTTTGTAGAAGTATTTCCTTGTTCCATGTCAGCAACAGAGACAGGATCGAAAACTGAACAATCCCTTGTCAGGAATTATGATTTAGCACAAAGATGACTGGCAAATTCGATTGGTTAAGCTTTACTTTCTGCATGAAAAACATGACGATTGTACATTTCAGTAGATACAATGTCCAAGATGAGATCTTATGCTGCTTCGTACCCCATATTCAACTAGTAAAAGCTCGAGTAAACATTTGCAATGCTCGTCGTCATCTCCATTAATGTAAAACGCATCACGTGATATTTGACATATTTTCGGGAACACAACCCCAGATTGAGGAAACGAAAACAGATTGTTTCCGTCCGATTTGTAGATCAAACAGTATGAGACATCGAGGGTTCATCCCACCTATTGAGGGGATTTTATCTTCAATGACTCCATGGATGAATGCAATTGAAGGCATGATGACACATGGTGAGGTCGAATGCCGAATTTCCATATTAATATTCATGCCAGGAATTTCAAAAGAGAAGCAAGTGATGCTACAGAGGAAATGAGTGCAACGGATGAAAGAAAAAGCAAACAGCCTCGTAAATCCATCTCAACTTAAGATGATTTGATAAATAAGCGCGAAAACTTCCGATACATCATCTGTTTGAGCAACCCACACGCTTTGTGCAACATGGTCTCAAGTTGGACGACCCCTCATTACGACAATATTGTTTGATCTGAAGAAGGAAGAGATGATATGAAAGGATTGGGTGGTGGAGTTGGGAACCACGAATGTAAAGTTTGAGAGATGCGCAAAAAGGATTGTTTCGAGCGTGTGAAGAGATGAAGAAAATACATGGCGCAGCATGGATTTGAAGGACAGGAAAAATAACGTGATTCGCCATTCTCAAGCTTGATTGTGAGAGTCGTGAAAAGAGCATCTGTTTGATCCTCAACAAGAATAATTTCTCCAAAATGGATTGATTAGTGAGCATAAAACATATTCCTTTTGTTTCGCGTGATGGATTTTGGTGGTCAACAAATTCAGGAAGAGGATTTTTGAGTAATTGGTGAGGGTATTCCCACTTCCAAGGTTGCTTTGAAATCTCCACTCGACCGCTCTTCAACCAATACGGAATCTTTTGGATAAATTCGAAAGGATCTTCAAGGCTGCAGCAGTGCATTCGGGGAGAGTTGGTACCTTGAGTATGGTAACATTTAACCGCTCCAAATTGATGGCATCTTATCTCATCTCGTCTCATCTCATAAATATAGATTGTGGAAGAGGCTGAGATGAAGGTTCAAAGGTAGCAACTGATGAATAATATTGGTTGGGGGCATGTAGGAATAGGAGGGAAATGTTATTATTTGCATATCGGAAATTTCCTCTTGCTGCGGTGTAAAGGAATCATTTGAATTTGATGTAAGAGACCGACGGGAAGGAGCATTTTTGGCTTACACACGTGGCGCAGAAGTGAGATGGGTAGCACTGGGTAGTAGATCTAACAATTGTACGCAGGAGTACGCAGGAGTACGCAGGAAGATGATAGAAAGGGTACCGACGACCTGCCTACCTACCTACCTAGTAATCAAGAGTCATGAGATTTTCTTTTTCCTTCTATGGATAATTCTTCCTGATGTGCGGAATATGAAGAACGTGAACTGTGAACCGTCCAATGAATCATCTTCACGTGTTCTTTTACGGTCCTTTTATCGATTCTATGCAATGTATTGTTGTGTTGTCGTCTTGTCGCCGTTGAGCCGAGTACAGTATCGTATCCAGATTGGACCGGGAGACTAGGTAGGTACGGTACATGTTCGTTGAGTCGTGAGTCGGATCAATCACGTCAATATGCACCATGAAAATGCTTTTAATTGAATTTTCTTTCTTCACTCCACGTACTCTAGTCAGGTCCTCTAGTCAGGTACCATTTAAACTTCTAAGGCTGAAATTCTATTGGAAGTTTTTAACCATGAATTAACCAAGAATTAACCGCCAATTCGGGTTAATTCAGGTACCAGTTTTTGCAGAGGGGTCCACTTAAATTTCGCTTGTCTTCCGAAGCGCCTATAAAACGAGATTTGTCTCATGATAATCCTTACTAGCCACACATTGGATCCTCGCCGTATCCTTGTCTTTCACGTTCAAATTTAAGATTACGGTTGATTGTGGGGATTAGCTTTGGCTTTTGGAACTGGACGAACCGGACCGTATTGCAGTAAGGATGAAATGACTAACGGAAACACGCTTTCTATCTTGTCTTGACTTTGCATCTGGACTCTGGGCTGTTGAGTCTTGAGTCTTGAGTCTTGACTCTCTCTACTGGACCCATTGCACCTGAATGAAGTGTAACAGAAGTGAAGCTTAGCACTGCTTGATGTTTTAGAAAGTGCAAAGACTGGAGTGTGAGACGATAAGAAGATAAGTCGACAGAAGAAAGCGATTCAGCATGCCAGGCGATGACCTTTACAAATCACGATTCATGAATGTTCAAAGTCAAAAAGGAAAGGAAATGAAATATGACGATGAGCCATGGAGATGAGAAGATACGGTGTAGCGGTACTCCCGTATAGTATACACCGTCCAAACTTAACAGACCAACTCAAAATCCGGAGATTGTTAATGTTCAACAGACTTCATCTTATTTCATTTGTATAATTGTATGACAGAAATTTACTTCTTCCTTGCTCACATTAGATTTCCCCCCCATTGCCCCATTCACTTGATATTAACAATAGGAGAAAAGAGTCACTTGATTTGATCGCTTAGATTAAATTTTATATTATTAATTCAACTTTATATCTTCCATTGCGGTGTAATACCATGT